ACTTCGATGGGAGCACTTCAGAAAGATTTCCAATCGAAGCAGGAGTTTTCTTAATTAAAAACCAAGGATGATGCCAGCTCTCAACCTTGTTGGGAAGGTGCGAGATGAGATTTCTGCCAGCATTGGGGTACGCAGAGAAGTACCCAGTGTTCTTCGACGAACTCCTCATGCTAAGAAATTCGTTCAATTCGGGGACCCCAATAACGTATCCGGCCTCCACCGCAACAGTTATAATCCCAAGGATGGTGCGAAGCAGATTGGGGGTTAGTTGAGGCAAAGCAATCTCAAGGGCTGCTAAATACCGAACTAGGGCTTCAGGAAGAGGAAAGGTTAGCCTACAACCATTGAAATAGACTTCGTAGACACAGAAATAACCGTCGCGATGGTCTTCCGGATATTCCATAGGACCAGGCAGCATCGATTCCGCCATGATTCCAGATGGAATCTGACAGAGATCTCTCAATTGATTAAGAGATTGAAGAGTCACATGTAGACATGTAGTGGGGACCGGCGATATCATTCGGGCGAGTGCATTCGTCGTTACTAGAGCCTCTTTCAAAGGATGGAGATTCGGGTCTTTCAAAATCAGAAGCCATTGGAGAAGATGAAAAATTCAAGATCCGGCGAAGAGAAATTTGGCGAAGAAGAGTAGAGAGAAGTTTTGATTAAAGCGCAAAAGTAACAAGAGAAACTTCGATGTCATCAATGGGAGAGATAAATCTCTGTAGAGGGAATTGTGCAAGTCTCCAGACATGGAGTGAGTGAGGACATTCAAAGAAAACATGATTTATGGATTCATCAGATAGACTGCATCTTTTGCAAGTTGGGTCAAGTTTCATTCCTCTTGTATTGAGTCTTGTTGTAGTACTGAGGGCTCTTATTATAACACGCCAAAGAAAATGCTTAATTTTTGGGAGAACCTGAAGGCGCCATATACGATTTTTTAAAAGATTGGAACCGTGAGGTGGCCTTATTGTTGGCTGAGAAGGGGATGAAGAATGCATCAGGAACCAATAACCCGACTTGACTGTATACTCTCCTAATTTATCATAGTTCCAGATTAGATAATCCAGAGAAACCTCCCGACTAAGATGAATTTGAGAGAGTAGAGTTCGATCCTGAGGTAGTATCATTGATGAAATGAGCCTTTTGTCCCAAAAGCGATGTGTTCCATGTTGTGCTATCAGACGACAAATTGGGAACTTCAATTCTGGACAGATTGTTCGTACCGGCCGTGGAGGATGAGAACCTAAAATGTTTTCTTTGTTTACCTGAGTTAAATGCCCATCACCCACTATATGTCTCGTTCCTTTTTTGATTAAGTCAAGTCCTTCAAGAATTGAAGCCCATCCATATGATTGGTAGCTGCGTGGTTTCGCCTCTAAAATTGAATCATTCAAATAGTAACGAGCTTTTAAAACCCGGGCACACAAAGAGTTTGGATAACAAAGTAATCTCCATGCTTGCTTTGCTAATAGTGCATCATTAAACTTAGCCAAGTCTCGGAAACCTAAACCACCATCTGCCTTTGATAGTTGTAAACGTTTCCAAGCTATCCAGGGACTTCCACTCTTATCATTTGTTTTTGTCCACCAGAATCTCATTAAAACCGCTTCTATTTCAGTGATGATCCCTTGCGGTAACTTAAAACAGGACATGGCATAGACTGGCATTGCTAAAGCTACAGATTTTATAAGAATTTCCTTACCAGCCGGTGATAAAAATTTGGAGCTCCAACTAGAAGTAAGTTGCTTGACTCTCTCAATAATATAGTTGAACATTTCCTTCTTTTTCCTCCCAAACTGTACGGGTAAGCCAAGATACTTACCACCTCCGCCTTGGTTAGGAATATCAAGAATTGTTTTCAACCGTGCCTGTGTGGAACCATAAACTCTCGATCCAAACGTTATTACCGATTTCGATGTGTTTAGTTTTTGTCCAGAATAGTATTCGTACACATCGAAAGCATCTTTTAAGGCTTGACAGTTTCGAGCATTGGTTTGACAAAAGAAAAGGGAATCATCCGCAAATTGGAGATGTGTGATTACAGGAGCTTCTAAACCAACTTTAATTCCTCTAATATCACTAGCTGCTGCCTTAACCTTGATGACATGGCTCAATATGTCCGCGCAAAGAATGAATATGTAAGGAGATAAAGGATCGCCTTGTCGTATTCCACGTTGCGGTTTGACTAGTCCATGGGGTGAACCATTTACCAACACCGAATATGATATAGAAGTAATGGAAGCCATAATCCAACCAATCCACTTGTCGCAAAAACCAAATAGACAGAGTGTGGTCTCTAAGAAATTCCATTCGACACGATCATATGCTTTGTTGACATCCGTGTTTGATCATATCTTTGCTTTATATAGTTCAAAGAAATGGTATGTACAGAGAAATATATACACTATATATAACAATGTTTCTCGACCTGTTTCAAAATTGAAAGGTCATGTAGAAGCATGGTGGAGCTATATGGTGTGATAGATGTGATAGAAAACTCATCGAAGCAAATTAGAAACATACAAGGTACAAGATATTTAAGAAAGAAAATGATCTATATATTCAAATATTAGAAATCTAATTATATGACGTGCTACCAATACAAAAAGTTTCTGCAAAAGCTAGATAGACCCAAATTAAGGGTTTAATTACTAAACTAACTCATAAAATGTAAGGGTTAATTGAGTTATTTTCATACCTAAAATACCCTTTTCTGCTTTGTTAGGAATAAAAAAAAAGTTAAAAATACCCTTAAAAAAAATTTCAAACGTGGGGAAAAAATTTCCAAAAAGAGAACACCAATTAGAAAAGTCTGCGGATCTACTTATCACAAATTTGTTTTTCCACGACAGACTTATTTGTATATGACAGATTTTCTTCCCCAGACTTTTTTGTTTTACAGACATATTTGAATATGGTTACGACAGATTTTTAATTTATAGCAGATTTATTTTTCCGGCAGACTTATTATATGACGACACCACAGACTTTCATAATTTGTGACAGACTTCTTGTTGATGTGTGGCTGATTTATTTTATAGTGGCCTCAGATTTATATTATTCGAGAAAAATCTGCCGTAATGTAGCAGATTTGTTAAAGAAAAATAATTACTAGTTTGACTTATTAGTGATAACAGATTGATTTTACGTTATGACAGTTTTTTATTATGTTAATAAAAATCTGGAGTGTGATGACAGATTTGTTATAAAAAAAATATAAATTGCTAGAATGGCATATAGTTGCAACCGAAATGTTATATGTTATGACAGATTTGTTTTATGTTACGACAGATTTCAGATAGTTTACAAATAAGCTGTCATATGATAGCAGTTTTCTTGAAGAATTTTTTTGTTGCTGGAATGACTTATAGTGACAGCAGATATGTTTTATGTTATGACAGATTTAAATTTTAATTCTTATTTGACAGATTTATTGTTCTTATGTGATGGCTGATTTGTTTTTAACAAGATTTATGTCGTAGATTCTGATTGACAGTTTTTGTTTTAATCTACATAATAAGGTTACGACAGCAAAATTTGTTGTCACGACGCCACTACTGTTTGTTTCCTATAGATTAGTTTTCTTCTTTTCTAGATTCATATTCTAGTCGAGTAGATGATTAAGATTTATTATTTTTATGAACTATTATTACACAAAAAATTGGATATGTTTTTGTAATTATAGTATGATGAGAGAGTAATGAACTTAATAAGCAAAATTAAATATCTCTATAGAATACAATCGTAGACAACCAAGTCAAGGAACTCGACAACTCTTCCAACTTCTAAATAAATAGCCTTGTACGCATAAAGAAGTTTAATAAATAGCAAAAGGTTTAAATTAAGCTGGAAAAGAGATCTAATGTGTGGTATACACACTCAGCATAAACATTTATAGAATTGCCAGTAAATAAAAACATGCAGAGATTTCGTTTTCTACATGTTTTTTTTAATTGTTTTCTTTTTTAATTTCAGTTAAGGAAAAAAGAGCCAAAACTGGGTTTTTGGTCTTTTTACTAAAAATTTGGGTTAGTCTAGTTTTCTTCTAAATTTGGGTATTAATCTAGTTATTTTTCATTAGATTTGTGTCAAACTAGGTAAATTTAACTTTGCTATATTGCTCTTGCAAATTACTCTCTTTATCAACAACATTGCAGAAACTCTTACATAGAAACACTACATACATAAAAAAATATACTCCCTCCGTTTTCGAATAGTTGTCGTTTTAACTATATGCACACAAATTAAGAAACTATTAATATTGTTAGTTTTTCAATATAAAAATATCATTAATTATCTACCTAAACATAATTTAACCAATAGTAAATCAAGTTGCATAATAAAATTAAATATAAAAAATAAAAAAGTAATAAATTTTGCATCAAAAACTGAAAACGACAACTAATTAAAAACAAAAAAAATTTCTCTAAAACGACAACTATTCGAAAACGGAGGGAGTATTAAAAATAGTAACGACTAATCATTTAAAAGAGATATACAAAAGATAAAAATACTATATAGACTACTCATAATAAGAAATTACAATGAAAAAATGAATTGTAATTTTTAATGTAAATGAATTAATAATGAAAATGAATTGTAATTTTAAATAGAAATTACAATGAAAAAATTAAAGACGAATATGTTTAAACAATTTATAGTATCATAGATATTTTTAATTAAAATTTTTAATAAAGCATTACATGATTTTTCGCATAAATAATAAACAAAATTTAAAAATCAAAACTAATTTAACAAACTTAAAAACTAATAATTGACAAATACATACTGGACGTAGCCTGGACTAACCCCTAGTAAAACCATAAAACTCGGTAATCAAACCCGTTGACACAACCACAACCAACGAATTTAGTTCCAGCAAACCAGAAATGGGCCAAGTTTTTTAACGGGCCTTAGATATATGGGCCTACGATAATCCAATCACGAGAACAAAAGCAAGAGGATGATACAGAGATCTCTGTGATTCCGAAATGTTGAGAAGAAAACCCACAAAAATCCAACTCAAAATCGAAGACCGTGAAGAGCTTGAACAATCCCGCAAATCTCAACCATCCACCACCACCACAACCACCGCTCCATCCTCCTCCTCCTCTCTCCACCACCTCATAGACCCAAAACACAAAAACCCTTCTTCCAAATCCGACAGAATCGGCCTCCCTTGAAACTCAATTCCTCCATGGAAGTCGAAGTCAAGCTCCGTCTCCTAACCGCCGCTGCTCATCTCCGTCTCACCACTCTCCTCACTCCTTTCCACCTCAGAACCCTCCACCAACGCAACATCTTCTTCGACACACCCAAAAACGATCTCTCTCTCCGCCGCGCCGTCCTCCGTCTCCGTTTCCTCCAAAACGCCGCCGTTTCTGCGGCTTCTTCTTCTCCGCCGCGTTGTATTGTCTCTCTTAAAGCGAAACCAACTCTAGCTAATGGGATTAGTCGTGTGGAAGAAGATGAAGAGGAGATTGAGTATGGGATTGGTAAAGAATGTGTTGATTCACCGGCTAAGCTCTCAGATATTGGATCTAGGGTTTTGAAAAGGGTTAAAGAGGAATATGGGTTTAAAGACTTTCTAGGGTTTGTTTGTTTAGGTGGGTTTGAGAATGTTAGGAATGTTTATGAGTGGAGAGGTGTGAAACTTGAGGTTGATGAGACTAAGTATGATTTTGGGAACTGTTATGAGATTGAATGTGAGACAGAGGAACCAGAGCGTGTTAAGACAATGATTGAGGAGTTTCTTACAGAGAACAAGATTGAGTTTTTGAATTCCGACATGACAAAGTTTGCTGTTTTTCGGTCAGGAAAACTTCCTTGACAGGGTTAGTCTTTCTTAATCTCTGTGGTTACCATGTTTGTTTGTTGTTTTGATTGAATTCATCAGTAAAGTTATAAGTACTTGATCTTTTGAAGTCAAGATGCGTTTTTGAAGAAATGGTTTCTAGCACATTGTAGTATAGAATGGTTAAGCGTGTTTGTTCGATGTTGCGATTGAATTTGTAAGTAATCGTATAGAGTGCTATCTTTTGATGTCAAGTTGGGTCTTTGAAGATATGATTTCCATTACATTAATTATAGTATAGATTTTTCCTTTATATAGATGGGTCTAAAACATTTCAATATATGATGTCTTGTTAGTTTGTTGGCTGGTCTGGAGGACAAAAGTTTTCACCTTGATGTAGAGACTTGGGGTGAATATACTATTCTGATACCTTGATATATACATGTCAGAGACGCCTTAATAGGTTTACCTCTTCTATCAGTGTGTTGCTAAATATCTTCATATGGATGCTTTGAAGAGATTTCATACAATTCTGGTTTATCTTTTTTTGGTTCCATAAATCTAATTTACTGTGTTGTGTATTGAATAGGTGGGAGAAATGGTGGCTCTAACTAGAAGAGTGGTTTCTTGGTTCATGGCTTTTGGTCATCAGCATTGGTCAAGTTAATGTTGATTGCAAGAAAGTGTACTACTATTGAACTAGATGAGCTCAGTTTGTACTGTTTCTTAAGGCCTTGTCGATCTCTCTGACACTTGAAGGATTTGGTTCCTGAGCCTTAGTATTATTTTGGAATTGGTTTTCTGTAAATTTTATTTTTGCCAAAAATTTTACATCTATCGGACTACAAACATGAAAACGATAGAGAACCTAATGTGGAGACAAATGAAGGGTTTGGATAGGATTTGTTGTACAACTGAAATAAAATTCAAGAAGGGATGAGGTAAAAAGGGCCCTTGGTTGGAAGGGTAAGGAGTCGGTTTCTGATGGTCTAAGCTGCTTCAAGTCTTAGAGATGTTGTAGAGGCATGATTGGTGGTGAAGATTTCGTGTTCCTCCCTCCAGATTGTGTAGAGGGTAGCTTGGAGAAAGAGTTTTAGTAGAACCCTTACTTTTGTATTCTGGTGTGGCATTGGACAAAGAGACCAAGATGCAATGGTTTCGACTAATCATTCATTGGAGGACAATGATCAAAGCTAGTTGCATAAGCCAAAAGGCGGCAAATCTTGTGGTAGAACTTGCATTTGAAGAATGGATGTGAGTGAGATTCAACTCGCAAAGAGGACATACCAAGAAAACTTTTCTTGCCCCGTCTTACTAGTCTGCTTCACGATGATATTGGATGCCAAGCAAAATGAATAAAAAGCAATGCATACCTTCTCGACCTGGAGTTTTCTAATGGTTTCTTAAGTTTATTTCATGTGTCATGTTACACAAATATCTGTGGAAACCCCATGGAAAGACCATAAGGGATTACAAAAGTAATATTAGTCAAGTATGGTTCTTTGTTTGTTTTGTCATCTTAATCTAAATGGTTTATTGACTACTTTTCCAACCTTCTATAAGGATTTATATCCAAACATTTTTGAAAGCTTACTAAACTTTTTAACTATCACTTAATTATCGTAAAGTTCGAACAATTTTTCTATGTTTAACCAAACTTCTAATAAAAGAAAAAATCTCGATTGGTTAATCAATTCGGAGAATATATTTTTTCATAAACAAAATCATAGTCTCTTAGACAAACTAATCAGTCTATGTAGATTTTTTTTTTGGTTGATAGCAAAAACTCGATTATATTAAGTAACCGGAAAAAAAAAACTCTCCTCTAGGAAGAACCAAAATCGGAAACTGATGAGTTTTTTAGAGATTTAGATATGCGTTTTCTTCTTGAATAAGCTCGGTGGTGAAGCCATTTGACCTTTTAGAGTCTATTATACTTCTTATATAACATTTGTACGTAATGAGTATAAGTTAAATATTTTTTGGATTAGGAATGCAATTCCCTAATTGAGTATTGCTCTCACTTCATGTCGATGCATAAGCTTATGTTATTTGTAACCATAATTGTAGGATTTGTTGTAAAGCTCTTACTATAATAGCTTTTTTCTTTTGGGTTCGTTTCTCGCACTGCACAAGCTTTTGTTCAACCACATGGATTGTATCTCTATACTTTGTTGGGTCAATTCCATTCTGGTTGATAAAGTCGCGTTAAGGACAACCCTCGTTACCACTAGACAACAATGGCAAGAGAAACAGCAACGGCAACCGAGAAACTGCCAAGCTCGACAAACATTCATGCCTCAGACGTAGAAGAGACGAAGAGACCAAACATTCTAAACATAGAAGATAACTAAAATCCACATCGAAAATCACACATGACAACAAATAGTAACAACAAGAGAAGATGAAGTTCAATAAGAGGACGATAAGTTTCCCTACACTACTTAAACCAACACAGAGCATCCTCTTCAAGTCTTTAACCATCCAAACCACAAACACTCATTAACTCATGATTTATTTTCTCTTCTTAGAGGGCGGCTGGCGAACATCATCATCATCTTCCTCATCCTCGTCTTCTTCCTCATCCTCATTGTCCTCATCATCGTCATCATTATCACCCTCCTCATCATCGTCATCATCTTCATCGCTTCCTCCTCCACCATTGGCCACTGGATCATCCTCTGGATCAGCTTCTTCCCCTTCATCCCCTTCACCCCCTGAGAAATCTTCATCATTAGCATCATCCTCATCGTCGTCATCCTCATCAGCGTCTTCATCATCATCGTTGTCATCTTCAGTGTCACTAGCATCTTTGTTTTCCTCAGCACGGCTTCCTCTTTTGTAACCCTCCTTCAGAGACAACCTAGAGAAAGATAAATATAGATTGATCCATTTAGATAAAACTCATGCTCCTCGACAATAAAAAGGGAAGGACAAGGAAAGGCGTGCCCGTAATACTCACCTCTGGTCAACAGCAATCAACCCTATCAGCAATGATTCTGCCTGCAACGATGACACAAGAATGCTTGTTAAAATAGAAAGACACAACCAAACAGTAGAATGTGATAAAGATGTGAAGCATTAATGCAAGATTCGTCAAAAAGGGAATTAAAAAGCGCAAAAACAAGATAAAAAGGATCCTATTCGAAAATGGAAAGCATATAACAACAACAATCAACACCAAGTGTATCAAATCTAAACTTGAAAAGAGAAACTTCTGATTGTGTGTAGCTGAATAACCCAACTCCAAGAACAAATCCTCATTACAAAGAAACAAACAATCATTGCGCAATAAATAAACAGAAATTGGCAAAACCAACAAAATAAAAGTGACCAATTAACAAAAAGAGAGGCACTAGATATTGTTTCTAAGCTCTATTCAACTTCATTAACAACAAATGGCAAAACACACAAAATAAAAGTGACCGATTAACAAAAAGAGTGACACTGGACATTGTTTCTAAGCTACAATTCAACTTCATTGTGCAAAGACTCATCTAGAACCATTAACACAAGTGACAGAGTTTAAGTGCTAGTCTAAAACTTACACATAGCTAAACTCAAACCAAAACAATGTCAAGACAAAATCTAGACCCTAAAACAGGACTCTGAATACGCAGATATGAAGCAATTTCTCAAAACGGATAAAACAAATCTATAAACCTTGGACTAAGACAATTACAACAGAACATAACTACACAACAGATAAGACATATCTCTAATGTTCTTTGCAAATCAATACGGTACAAGAACCACAAATACAGTCCCAACAGAGAAACAAGAAGCAAACAAGAAGCAAACAAGGTAAATCTACACCGCAGAAATCAAGAAGACTGATAAAAAAAAACTGTTCTTTACCACAAGGAGAAGACAAGCCAGATTCTTTCCGACGAGGATGAGAAACGACTCAGTGACAGAGCAAGCCCATGTCTCCTGTCTCTGCGTCTCCATTGACCCAACAGCAACCACTTCCATATCTACTCAAAATTGAACACAGAAACACTCTTGTAAGAGATGAGAAGACAGAAAGTGTTAACTTTAACAAAGTTTTCTACAGGAGACTGAGGAGACCAAGAGACAGGGAGAGAGAATAAGAGGAGAGAACCTGAATAGCTTATGTGTCTAGATCCGGTCAAGGTAAACCCTAGATTTTGGTACGACTAGGGGATTTTTTTTGTCTTTGAGGTAAGATTTGATTTATAGACAGATTAACTGCTATGTCGACTGATGATAGAAGATTTTTAATTCGTGAAATCTAAATTTTTTTTTTGATTATTTAAGCGAATAACAAATCAAATTATAGACTAGATCCTGACCCGCACATACGTGCGAGATTTCATATTTTAAGAAATGTGTTGTAATAAATTTTTATTAAATATATGATTATTTTGTTGTTTTAGTGATATATATTGTATTGAATAAATTATAATGTACACAGAAAAGTATAAAATGTTATTTATGTTTGCTTATGATACAATAGCAACCATAAGGCATTTTTTGGAGTTTGAAACTGAAGAGTAGATTAGAAAAAAATCTTAGATTGAAATATATGTAAAAAAAAAATTATATAGTTATAGTATTTATAACCTAAACGCATATCAGTTGGTTGAAATATTTGAAATAATAATGATTTTAATAGTATTTTAAAATTCGTAACAATCAAACGGTCGGACCAAGATCAAAATGAATCGAATTAATGGTCACGTAGATTTTTATTAAACTTGTAAACTATCAAAACGTATATAAAACCGTTAAAATGATTAAATAAGTTTGCAAGAAATAGAAATATTTAGAGATAGGCGTAATTCCCATTCAGTTTTATCATGTTCCATTATATCTTACCCGTTCTCCAATTTATGTCTCATAAGAGAACGCATTTCTAATATAAGACAAATTTTGTATTCCCGATTAGAAACAGGACGTGACGGAAACAAAAATTCTCGATATCCTGTTTGGGACAAACACAAATATAATTCATAGTATATGTTTATATGATATGATATAATAAAAAAGTTAGATTGATGTTAAAAAAAATTATTTATATAGTTATAGTATCTATAACCAAAACTCATATTAGTTGGTTGAAATATTTGAAATAAAAATGATTTTAGTAGTATTTTAAAATTCGTAACGATCAAACGGTCGGACCGAGATCTAAATGAATCGATTTAATGGTCAGATAGATTTAGGTTAGTTATATAAATTTAAAATAATGAAAACTACCCATTTAAAAAAAAATATATATTCTAAAATTTTATATCATTTAAACTCTAATTAAATGTTAAATATTTTAATCTATCTTTCAAATAATTTTTAGATATTTACAAATTTAGAATCCAAAAAATTAGTTTTTGAATAAGCTGTATTTTAAAGGATAGAAGTATTTTGTTTAGATTATATACGACAAATATAATAAATGTTTTTTCATATTTGGAAAATCAAAATTGAAAAATCTTTTTTCCATGTGTACCAATCAGAATTAATTAGCATAGTATTGTTAAGGAAATTTTTAAAAATGTAAATGAAATGATAATTTGTTATTAGATTAGATTGCCATTTTAGAAAATATCTAATAATATCTTACGAAAATAATTTAGTTTACATATATGCAATTTCGAATTAAATATACACAATTACCCGTTTCGGTTTATTAATTTTCCTTCTTCAAATTTAAAAATATCAATGACATTCTTTGTAATTATTTATCTTTTATAAGGTTATATTTTATCTAATTTGATCATAGATACAAGTATTTCGATGGTATTGATAATGACAATTTCGACTACACTCTATGACGGAATTTCACTATGGTGAGTGATGATCAAATTAGTTGATGATGTTGATGACGATGATGATGACGATGACGACGACGACGACGACTATGACGACGATGACGAGGGCGACGATGACGATGACGATGACGACGACGATGACGACGATGACGACGACGACGATGACGATGACGACGACGATGACGACGATGACGACGACGACGATGACGATGACGACGACGATGACGACGATGACGACGACGACGATGACGATGACGACGACAATGACGATGACGACGACGACGATGACGACGACGACGACGACGACGATGACGATGACGATGACGATGACGATGACGATGACGATGACGATGACGATGACGATGACGATGACGATGAGGATGACGGTGATGGTGATGGTGATGGTGATGGTGATGGTGATGGTGATGGTGATGGTGATGATGACGACGACGACGACGATGATGATGGTGGTGAATTGATGACGATGGAGTGATGAAGATGATGATGGAGTGATGATGATGATGGTGGTGGTAACATGATAGTTACTAATTATCAATTAATTAGGATTTAAATTATAAGAAAACTATGTTATGGATCACCTCATTAAACCCATTAATCCATTCATTTAAATGAGTTATGGGTTAATCCAAACCATTTGCTAAATGAATTGGATTGATTCATTAACCATTAAACACTAAATCAATATAGATATGGGTTGGTTTGGTTTGGTTTAACCAACTTGACACCCCTAATCGTATGTAC